AGAGAGGTTACCCACTTAGGTTTTGCGTTGCACGTGACCCTTCACGAGACACTTGGCACCGTTAACCGATACTGGTGCATACCTAGTCGCGGTCCAGAAAGGATCACGCAGAATTCACCACTTTTTGTCGAGGCACTTCTCTTTCTGGAGAAAAATGCCGCTTGTTTGTCTCTTTCTTTTAATTTCTCCCTCTTCCAAGTCGCCTTCTTTTTTTCTGTTGATCTCGTTTTGGAAAATCCCACTACAGGAAAATGACTGACATAGTATATTTTTCTTATTTAGTTTGACAAAAACGTCATGTTTTTGTTTCACATATTTTGCTCTATATATCTAAGTTGGACATATTTCTATGAGATGACTAATCTTAAAAAAACATATTTCGATCAATGTCAATTCTAGTGATGTGTAATTATATTACATATGAATTTGAACGAGTCGAAGTTAAAGATTTCGGTCGGTTAAAAAACACCGAAAAAACGGTGCCAAGCGTCCCGTGAAAGTCACGTGCAACGCAAAACCTAAGTGGGTAACCTCTCTTTTCTGTTATTCTTTTCTAAATATTCTTCTTTTGCTTATCTTTGCGATGAAAAGAGAAAGGAAGAATATTACTCATCTTATCTTTTGCTGTTCAAAATAGATTCAAGCTGAAAGCAGACATTAGTCAAAATAAATGCAATATTTATACTCATCGTCGGAGTGGAGTTCAGTGCTATGTTTTTCAAAGTTTTTCCGAAAACTAGTTTTGTTTGAAAAATTCAGGTCTGGCTACGACCTATTGACGAAAAAAATTATTTCAAAAACGCATAGTTCAACTAGGTTTTCGATGCTGATTATGAACAGTCTGATGGTTTGAATAAACATTAAATAAATGAAATAAACATGAAATAAAACATTGAATCAAATACACATTTGACTGTACTAAGCATGTAATCCGGTCTCAAACAGCAGATTAAACGCTTGGGAAACAGAGGTTCGACTACAGAAAAACCTTTGACTCTACGAGATGTTGGATCTTTTTTGGCACGAGATCTTTTTCTCTTCTCATCAGCAATAACGGCGTCTTGATAATAGTCATAGGGAGTACGTGGAGCACTACCAACGTTCTAGTAAAGAATTTTACTAAGATGATGATCGTAACCGCTGGACTCAACACAAATGTAACAGAAGACAATCCACTATGGCTTGTAAAATCTGAAAAAAAGACAAAGCAGGAGAATCAGCGGTAAAAATCAGTATTGTTACATACTCTCATCTCGTACACTCTAAAAAGTAGTGTTTTATTGAGACCAATAAACCTTTTAAACAACGCTTTTCCGTTTTTTATTTCCAAAAAACTAAAAAGCGTCCGTGACAGATACAAAATGAAAAACGGGCGGTTTTTTATGAAAAATAAAAAACCCTTTTCAGGATTTTGTCAGATCTAAAATATCAGCTAAAAAGCTCTTCAGCTTTTTGTAGACTCTAAAAAACTAGCTAATTAATTAACATCCAAATTTTAGTCCAATCTACAAAATACGACGTTGTCCAACATTTGTCAGCTTGATTCGTCTTCTTTGCCCCCATTTTTGTGCTACATTACCAAATGTATGACAATCTTTAAAAAATATATCATATTTCATAAATTTTACATTTGTTTCCATTCTCGATTATCCTTTTACACATTCAAATATATTGCTAACTACTATTTGAATTACTAGAAGACCATCAAGGTGCTGGAGATGGCAAAAGCGGTGCATAAATCGTTGCGCAACCTGCCGCACACAGTGCTACTCCCTACATTAGGTATCAGCAGTACATCCTCCATAACATGCTGCCAAACATGCCGCATATGCTCCCGGACCAGCTTCTGTTACTGTTACAGATCCAATTAACAGAATTATTATCGTATTCCGAAAGACGAAGTTCATCTCCATCACTATCTGTATAGAAAAACAAATCAATATTCTTCTACAAACTTCACACTTCAACGTCTTATATTTTCACACGAAAAGTTTTGTAAGTGTATTTATTGCGCCAGAGGATCATTTTTCACTCGCGTTTTAACTGTAGCTCTCACAGTTTCGGTCTGAAACTGTAAAGTCTATGATAAAATAAACGGAGACGAAATGAGGGCTGTTAGATAGATCATTCTAGCATTGTTTTTTTTTATTGTGGAACAGAGTTGGGCGAACCAAGTCATTTTTCACGTCGTGTCGAGTTGTGAACCAATTCGACTCGACTGGACTCGGCAAAAAAATACAGACTAATAAAACCTTTTTGTGGAGTCTTTATTCTGCATTTGTACGGAACGCTTTTCGGTTTGTTAGACATGAAAAACTGTCTAAAAATCGGGTAATAAACCCTTATCTCAAAAACCCTCCCAAAAACCGTGGGTTTGTTATATATATTCAATAAATATATAATCGATAAAAAAACCTTTTCAGTTTATTACTCTACTCTAAAGGGTTTTTGACTAGCTCTCTGATGGTCTATTGTGCATTTTGAAAAACGAAAAAGCGTTCGTGACAGATGCAAAATGAAAGGCAGTATACTAAGTTAGCCAAGTATACCACCCGATATTTTTTTCTCCTTGAGCCCTGATATATGTATAGAAAAAGCATTCGATAATATAAAATTATCGTATACTCCTAGTACAAAACACAAAAACGAAATATCTTTTATATTGTCATTTAATTGTGATTTTTTGAAATAAATAATTTATTTGGCAAGCTTTATCATTCATATTTTCTGCATTTGTACAGTATTTACCTCGCTCCCACTCTGTGACGGAAATCCATTTTTATTATCCGTACACGACTTTCTTTGATATTATCACAGTTGGCTGCTGTCTCGCGACATCTGTCTTCGGCCTAAAGAAACGATTGCTTAGCTTTTTTTCTCTCTGCATTTCAGATCATCTCTTTGCATATTTATCTTGCAAGATTAAAAAGGCATTTTTTATGCTTCTCGCTTATGATGAGAGGCTGGCAAATAGTAACTCCTTTGGTGTTTGATAAGAGTCACGTACTGTCAACTGCCCTTTACTTGTAGCCTATGGCGCTTGCTGTATCTGACTACTGTTGAACAATTCCCTATCTGTCGATTGAGTTCGTACAGGTGGGATCGCCATGTCTGTAGTCAACATATATCACTGAGCCTCGGAGTCAGGTTAGGTTGGGCCCTGATGTCTATCTAGCTGTGTCGCACTAGTGATCAACAATTCTATATGTGTGGGTCTGGTTGGCTTGGGTTGGGTGGTCATGTCTATAGTGTCAACAAATATCAGTTGGATTGGGTTGGGTTATCACATCTGTCGTCAACAGATATCACTAAATCTCGGGGTCGGGTTAGACTGGGTCCTCATGTCTATCTAGCTCTGTCGCACCAGTGATAAACAATTCTATACGTATGGGTCTGATTGGGTTGTGTTATCGCATCTGTCATCAACATATATCACTAAATCCCGGGGTTGGGTTGAGTTGTCATATCTGTCTGACTGTTTGCTTAGAATATTTGCACTAGAAAAAGCTTGTGACATTGATTTTTGCTGGGTTTCCTGGAAAAGGTGTTTGTTTCTTTGCTTTGCGGAACTAACGTGTTTTTTTGTTCTTTATTTCAGATAAGAAATGACGCTACATTTAATATTGAAATCACAGACTTCCGTTATCGCCGTCAACGTGAAGAGGACCGGCTGTGTTATTAATGAAGTGACTTGTACAAGCACGCCAGTTTTGAATGTTTGCAAAAAATGATATATTTTGTTTTTCGCTAGAGTGACAAGGTATAGTTACAATTTCTGTATTACGAGAAGACTAGTATAAAAGAGAAAGAAGACGGTTAACCGCATATATCAGAAACAGAAAAAAAAATCACGACTAGGCATCCCTTCATCTCTTTTTTATGGCGCATCTTGCATCTGTCAAATGGAACGTCTAACAAAAATTATCACTACATATGATTTTGTTATGATTATTCCATGCATTTGTTAACGCATTCTACGAAAAGTCATTCGAAAATCTTCTTTGTTATACAGTTGTTTGTCAACGTTCTGTTTCAAGTGCTTCTTCGATTCATTCTCTTTCTCTTACTCTTAAACAATGTGAATAGTAACAGCCGAAAATGCAAGAAATTGAAAGCTTCCTGTCTTATTAAAGTACTTAAAAAGTGCACTTCAGAAACTGTTTCCCCCAAATTAAATATGAGAAACGGATTGTATTTAATTGCTGAAGATAAATAGTAATTATGTTCACTTCAATTTTGACACATTAGTTCATTAAGGTCCTCATGTTGCTAATCATACTTCACGCTTTTAATCATATCTGTAGTTGATGCGGTCAAAAATCGAAAATTTTTCAAGATAGTCAATAATTTCATGACGCTAAAAAACCTCAGTTGTGGAACTTTCGTAGAAATTCCACTTTCAGTTCCTAAACCTCTTATACTCTTCCTCTGGTCTTGGGTCTAACATAGTCACAGGGTATCATTAGATTGTAGTTAAACATAGTCAAGCTGCACGTCTCATAAAATCTTTCTTTCTAGAATAATTTATAAAAGAACAACTAACACTTGACCCACACAAGCATAAATATTCCAAAATAAAATAAATAAAATGAAATTTTATGTGGTGACTCTCACTCTTATCCTGTTACCTTTCTGCGAAATTTCTTTCAACGAAATTACCTTTTTACCAAATTTTCGAAACTCGAAAAACTTAACCAGCAACTTTTGCTTTTGATCGTCTTGAAAGCGCTACCTTTGTTGAAATTTGTTGTTAAATGTTTCTTTTTCTTACGTGCATTGGCTATTCTTCGATACTATTTAACCGAGAAACAAAAACTAATTGTAAGTATAATAATAATATTAATTTTGTAAGTAATAAGACGAAAGAAAGAAGTTTACTTAATCTTTGTATTTCTTGTGTTGAGGAAATTTCTTGTTTACAAGTCTCTAAATTTATCCGTCGTCACGATTAATTCACGAACAATTCCAGCTTCTTGAGTAGAATGTCCAGGATCATGAACTCAATGTAATTCACCTTTAGGCCATACTTTATGCAAATCCCATGCCGTAATAGGTGGACAACACATATCATAACGACCTTGAACAATTACACCAGGAATATCTTTTATTTTATCAGCATTTTTTACTAACTGACTATCTTCGGACATAAATGCACCATGAGCATAATAATGACATTCGATTCGTGCAAAAGCAATAGCAAATTTTGCATCATTTGTTGCAAGCGCAATATACGATGGATCAATATATAAACGGGATACGGTTAGTTCAAATTCTGACCATGATATAACTGCTTTTAACATCTTATTTTCATCTTTACCAGTTAATCAACGATGACAGGCGGACATTAAATCACCACGTTCACCTTAACCGGGATGTAAAATAGATGTTCGTGTTGAGGGACGACACATCAGAATAAAGAAGACAAATCTGAACAAGAAGAGTAGTCTCCAAGGGCACTCAGTAAAGAACGAAAAAGAACTGAGCTTAAAAGCTTTTTTCTTCATGGATGAGTAATAACGCAGTATTAGTTTTTGACTGACCCTATCGGGAATTAGTTCTATAAACTTTTCCCAAGCATCTGGAAATATCTTCGAAACGCCCTCCTGATAAAAGCATAACAATTCTTTTCGTCGGCAACAAAATATGCCTCTTAAAATTAATGTTTTAACCCTATCTGTATATTTTTTAGCATAGGCTAAGCTAATGTTGATCCCCAACTACCATCAAAGACAATCTATTTATCAATATTTAAATATTTGTGTAATTTTTCTATATCATCGACTAAATCCCATGTCGTATTCTCATCTAAACGTGCATTTGGTATTGACTTACCAGCACCACGTTGATCAAACAAGATAATTTTATAGGTTTGTGGATCAAAAAATCGTCTATCCCGCGGTTCAGTGCCACCGCCTGGTCTACCACGTAAAAACAGAATCGGTTTACCCGATGAGTTTCCACTTTCTTCGTAATATAATGTATGAATTTTAGATACTTTCAGCATTCCAGTTTTATACGGTTCGATTGGTGGATATAAATCATGTAATTTTTGGTTTCTGACATGGTATCAGTTTCCGAAGACATATTGACGATTACTGAATAAAGTAGAAAATATTTCAGTAGACTACTACGATACGATACAGGGGCGGTGGAATGGTTTGAAAGCTGTGGGCTTGGATTTTTTTTTCCTGTAAAATCAACGAAAACTATCAGAGTATTTTTACATTATCTCACGACCTAGTGCCTAATGCCTCTAGAGCTGTGGGGGCGACGTTCCCATTGCTCCTATGGTTCCGCCGCATCTGCTAAGATATGGTCTGTGACGACTTATACTCCTCCAATTATAAGACCTTGATCAAGTTCTTGATATGTATCATAGCACACGCATACAATTAACTCAAGCTTGAGTTTATTGTATGCGTGCGCTATGATATGCATTTTTTTATATATTATTCTTTTATTCGACTACTCTTTTTGAAAAAACTATAACGTGCTAAAATCTAAGATCCTCGATTCTGTATGTGTTCTACTACACGCCAAAAGATAAGAACCGTAAAACAATGAAAAAGAACAGCGAAACAACACAACTACCAAAAAAGAACAGAACAAAACAAAATAAAATACTAGTATACGAAGGTAATCTGTGCATAGTGGAAGGAGAGGTTGCGTCAAAGAATCAGCACGTGGCGCTGTTGAGTGACCAGTAAAGAAGCTAAAATTTGTTGTACAAAGTGGTGACAAGGTACACTTTCAGCTGTAAATTTTTCTATAGTTCTGTTTTGCTCTTCATAGAAGAACTGATTGAGTAAAGAGATAATGTGCTAACATGTAGGTATGAGCCAAAACAAACGAATACTTTTTCGATTCGTTTTTATTCAAAAAAAACCTCATATGGTGCATGTTAATATGCAAATATGAATATTTACAATGAAATATTTAAATTAATTTAGAGAGAAACCTGATAGCTGCCAATAATTTATCCATATATTTTGGACGATCAATCTTTCTGCTACAAACAAATAGATTAAGAACTTATCTGAACAAAAAAGTATTTTTGTTTTACAGTTTTCTTAGCTGGTTAAATCTGTGTCCTAGCAATCAGATCAGATAAGATCTTCTCTCAACATCAATCTTGTTAGAATAAATAAGATTTTGTAGGAAGCTTTAGATTGATAACGTAATTCATATGTAGCACAGACATTTACAAAACAAATCGATAGACTGCTTGCTAAAAGTTTCGATACGGACGGTATCGGAACATATTATGAAACTTATTGTACTAACACATCAATTCATGCATGTATAAGCACCACATTTCGTCGATGCATTCATTGGTTATTTTATATAAGCTGCACACCTGCCAATATTTATTCTGTAAGTTATTACTGATACATCATCAAAGAAAACTTTATTTTTCAGGAATTGCTGTTTTCTTCAGACATGTTGAAATATTATTCGCAATAAAGTAATGGTTTAGCCAATAGAAATTACGTATTGATCGAAACACGATTTTCCATAGATTTTGAATCAATTGATAGAATTCTGTTTATTTTAAGGATTACAAAGTACCCACTTTGAAAGATCGTATCAAATCTTGAAAGTTTTTGTTTTGAGCTTCATCGACTATGTATAATAGATTTTGTCTTTTTGTGGATCGAATGTTATAAGAGCTTTGCACTAGTGTAAACCACTATAGCTAACTCATAAGTATACGCGTAACAAATATACAAGAATATGTGTGCTGTGATGGCCGAGTGGTTAAGGCGTTTGACTCGAAATCAAATGGGATTTTCCCGCGCAGGTTCGAATCCTGCTCGCAGCGTTTTCTTTTTCTCAGCTTTTTGTTACTTTTAATGGTCACCATATTCTTTCATTTAATAACATCATTAATAACCAATTCATCGGAAAGATATTCCTCTCTTAAAGTGTATCAAACACTGGCCGATGGAAAACAATATTCAGACTAGTGCTGTCCTTTATGTGAACTAGCAGCCATAGCTGATCTACCGCTGCCTCAGTGTCTCCAGATGTTAACGGAGAGAATTTATAAAATCGAGTATGATCGGCATTACTCATCAACAACAACAAATCACTTCGATTTCGTAGAAACAACAGAACGGGAAAAAAGAAAGAAAAACATTGTCGTGAACATGGTTACTTTTCAACAACCGATTTTCCATACACGACGGACAGTACCAGGTTGAACGTTGTTTTCATCGGCGAATGTTTGATATGCTTTATACGCCGGAATGGACACTTTCATGCAGCCAATGTAGAACCGCTTATTACAACGGTCGTAGCATAACGCATTGACATCGATGTTAACAGTGCCACGTCATGATCAATACGAGAAGATTATTAGACTGAATCAACGCCCAGAAGAGCCCACTATATACAAAATGATGAGGCTTTCGCACTCGCTCGGTGTCTCTTTATAATAATTTATAATATATCCTAGTGAATGCACTCAAGTGTGAGTACTCAGATGCATACTCATGCTGAAAAATGCGAGGAGTACACACGAGTACATACATTTTTTTAGTCATTGAGTACTCGTGAGTGAGTACTGAGTACTGTGGATATGACTTTGAGCACTCATGCTTGAGTATTGTTGAATACTCATATAACTTTTGGTAAATTACTCTTGAGTATTGTTCATCTAGTATTGTCATATAGCGGAGTCAGCCAACCTGGGTTGGTTACAAGTCTAGTCATAGACGAGTTCATCTCTGACTATGTACAGAGACACCAGCGAAAAAAATATTATCATGTTTCTTCACTAAATTCTACGTTCTTTACACAGTTGCATTTTAGCAAACTAAAACGGTGAATACGCACTAAGTAGTAATACTCAAAAATTGTTAGTAGAACTCATGTGAGTACTCATGAACAAATTATGAGTAAAATCGTACTCATAGTATGACTACTGTCACTAGTGTGAGCGCAGAAATGTAAATATTTCCATTATAAAATATTTGCAAAAGAACATCACGTAAGAGAAAGCTTTTTCACGGTAGGCAAAGTTTTGCATCAGAACTGGACAAGTCAAGTGAAGTTAAGTCAGACTTGAAAAAGTTCTGACTTGCCCAGCTCTGTACTGAATCAAAAGATATATGCAAAGTTCAATTCAGAAAACGAAAATATCTTACCGATGAATTAGTTATTAATGATGTTATTAAATGAAAGAATATGGTGACCATTAAAAGTAACAAAAAGCTGAGAAAAAGAAAACGCTGCGAGCAGGATTCGAACCTGCGCGGGAAAATCCCATTTGATTTCGAGTCAAACGCCTTAACCACTCGGCCATCACAGCACACATATTCTTGTATATTTGTTACGCGTATACTTATGAGTTAGCTATAGTGGTTTACACTAGTGCAAAGCTCTTATAACATTCGATCCACAAAAAGACAAAATCTATTATACATAGTCGATGAAGCTCAAAACAAAAACTTTCAAGATTTGATACGATCTTTCAAAGTGGGTACTTTGTAATCCTTAACATAAACAGAATTCTATCAATTGGTTCAAAATCTATGGAAAATCGTGTGTACACTTGTAGTTTCGTAGTTTTATAACTAATAAAAATCAATCTGGGGAGGAGAAATAGTTTAGATTTAACTGAAGATGTTTCATACCTAAAACTCGGGTTACAGTCCTTTCTTTTCGATTCTAAGTTACCCGAGATGAGAGTGGACCTTACAGAGAAAATTTCAAATGTTTGAGGGGAAATACCTAAAACAAATCGTTTCTATAATTTTACCCAGTAATGCACGGGAAAATGATGATAGTTTCTGTAGTATTTTGACAATCGGTAGTTGTGAGGTTAACCGGCGGTTTTTCTGCTGTGTTGCTATGGTTTCAGCTGAAATAACCGTGGTTAGGCGCCAGTTTTCGTCCAGTTTCGACAACATGGGTCCTGACAGTCACTGTCTTTGACCTTTTTATCTTCTAATTGGATCAGTCAGTTTTCTCAATCTTAACAAGTATCTGACAGGTCATCGAAAAACACAGCAGAAGACTTATTAAAAATCTGGACCTGCTTCCTCCAAAGTTTCTCAATCCGCCACCGTCACTGTGTTTTTAACATTTTGTTGGGTCCAAAAGGCTCACATAATCTTAGAGAACCATAACTCACAAATACCATAATACTACACATCACATTTCCTCAACACAAGAAATACAAAGATTAAGTAAACTTCTTTCTTTCGTCTTATTACTCACAAAATTAATATTATTATTATACTTACAATTAGTTTTTATTTCTCGGTTAAATAGTATCGAAGAATAGCCAATGCACGTAAGAAAAAGAAACATTTAACAACAAATTTCAACAAAGGTAGCGACAACACAATGGTTTTCTCGGACCTTGATTATATTTGTCAACAGAGTATTAGGAGTAGGATCAGTTCAGGAGTAACTTACAAAGATAGCTGAAGCAAAGATAAATCTCAACAGCCAAGCTTTACGCCAATATTTTTTCGAAAAATGAATTTAAAGTGTTGCTTTTATACTGTATAAGGGTTATTTTGAAAATGTCAACATCTCAACAGAAAAGGAAGTGAAAAGACGAAAAATTAATTTTGCCCCTTTACCATGCATGAAACCATAGGCTGACTATGTTGAGTAGGATGAGTACGTTGAACAGAAGCGAGATTTTATTTCCTCCATTAGCTTAAGCAACCGTCAAACGCGTATAGTCAAGCTCAGTTTTGTTCCTTTTTATTTTGCACAATCGGCAAATGCGCGCGGCTGGTTGCAGACCACAATATGACAATTCAAGAAAAGACCGGGTTAAAAAGCCTTTTCTAAAACCACAGAATGTGGCTGAGCAACTTCTTGCTGTCGTTGAATATCTTTTTTAATCGTTTGTTGTCGTATATGTGATGGTAGACCTGAATTAAGATTTAAAGCAAATGGTAAACTCATTTTTGGTACATCATCAAAATCAATAATAATTTGAATAACCATTGCCAGTCTGCTGAATCATTGATACAGGAAAAAATTCAGGTATTCCACCTGCAATATTCATATCTGAGTGTGGTCGTTGAAATGAATTTGATTTAATGTCAGGTCGAAATGAATCTATTACATGACGGTTTTGACTTGATTGATCATATAAGCAGAATGTAACTTTGTGATTAAATGGCCATTTAAGAATACCATTATATTCTCCAGTCATTAAAACAAAGGAAGGTGACATGTGTGTATGACGAGCATTACCATCACCATTTAAATATAGTCTTGCTCTCATTTTATACCCAGTAGGTGATGAATAGAATGGCGGTGAAAATATTGATGTTTGTCTTTCACTATGAGCATCAGCCATTTTATCTGCAACATTTGTTATTATCCATATGAATGTGCCATCAGACAAAATTGATTTAAGATCATCTACTTTCTGTTTTACACTTGATAGTTCCTATTGAAGTATCTTTTGATTAGAACTTAATCCAATCAGACAGACATCTTTTTCATTCACCTTTTTCTTCAGTTCGTTCAGTTGCTTTGTTATTACTTTATGAGAATTATTTATGCTTAATGATTCTATATTTAGTCGAACAGCATCATTTTGCAGAGCTTAAACACCTTGTATCAATGTTATCAAAGTGGAATAACATTTTTGCAATTCTTCATATGGACCATTTATCTGATCTGAATTGTTTGTTGCCAATCTGGTAGAATCTACTGTTGAGAATTCCATAACTAAACCGGTAGCTGAATTTGTGATGTTTATTAACGATTGTATTTTGTCAAGGAATATGAGAAGACTTTTTTGATGTAGTTCCGTATGCAAATGAGGTCCAAAATCTTTTATCATTACCTATTGCAATCCCAGACTGTAATTTAAACATTGCGAAGGACTGTAACGCACTTGCGATTGACATTCATAATTCGCTAGTGGACATTGTACTGATTCGTGACTTTTCTGTGTTTCATTCAAGTGGGTCTTAACAGGAAAAATAATTTTATACTGTATGAAAGGCTCTACTTGTGTCATACTTGATAATCTTTCAATTTTCCAGACCATTTACAATTGTGAGTCTATCAAAGCATATGACGTCTAATTCTCCGTCAAAAGAAAAATTATTTTTGGTTATTGGGGGAAGGTTACTCTTCTAATTCTCTCCCTCCTTAGACTAGTTTTGATTATATGGTCCCGTTATCGAGCAGAACGAAAAATGTATCAAGAAAATAGTCATCCTTCTGTTTTTTTCTTTTCTTTTGTACCCCCAGGCGAAACAAAAGAAAAAAAAGCGGAGTTATATGACATTCAATTTCTTACAAAAATTCCTGTAAAGTGAAAAGTTAGGTCTTCGCAATAGTTAAAACCTGTGTACCGGATTGAAAATTTGAATGACTTAACCAATAGCTAGATATTTAGAAAACGTAAATACTTCAGTTCTTACGTAAAGTTGACATAGTCATGACATAGATGGAATACCGATTTTTTAACTAAAAACGATTTATACATAAATTAGATATCAAATGATAAATATATAGAAGAAAATATAATATATTTCTTTAAATACCATTATTACTTCAAAATAAAGTCCATAATCAAGCACAGACGCATCTCAGTTGATGATAATCCGTATGGTCAATCCTCCAATACCTTCTATGTCTTTGAATCGCAAGGAGATTTAAGATGCGGGAATGTTCTCTTATTAGACACCGTTTACATAGAACTTGTTCTAATTTATACTGATAGACCATTTGATACCTTCTGATAAGGTTTTCGCCTGACTTTAAATTAAATTCTTTCTCATACCTTTGATGTCTGCATAATTTCTCCACAAACTGGACATATTATTGTTGTACTATCTCTAACAATACAAATATTATACAGGCACCATCGCAATGGAAATGTAATGAATACTGATTTTACCTTTCTAGTTTAAAGAGGCATTCACGACAGAATGTATCACCACATATTAACTGATACGGCTCTCTAATCAACAGTTTACACAACGAACATTTGTATTTGTGTTGAATTTCATCTTTATTTTTAACATCAAATTTCACCTATAGTGAGAACTTATTTGAGTGTCCCTCATAGAAAAGAGCTGAAAAGTATCCTATCCTGAAGAGAATTTTGGCTTGATTACGAATACGTATATTACAGCTGCTCTCATTAGTATCTGAAAATATCAAAATTTCACGTTTTTTTTAGCTTTGGGTACCTTCTGCTACTAGGCACAACTTAACAAACAAAAGAAAAATAGGAAATATCCAGTATAAGTAAACGGTCACCACTTAGGTACCTACCATAGGTTTGACATTGTCATATATAACAGAAATATGATTCTTTTCTATCGAATTTCCTCCATTTTTTCTGACATTAACAAACAGCATGTTTCGCTCTGTAGAAATTGTTTTTCCTCTGATAAATAGTCGACTTATCACACAGTCTTTGAATAACATTATCAATATATGTCGGTATCTTCCAATTTAAATAATTTACTTGACAATTTGGTCTTTTACTAGGTCAACATTAATCAATCAGTCAACTACTATCCATCCCAAAATACAAGATCCGTGGGCATTTTTTGAATAAATTTTGATAGAAATAAGATAGAGATCTGCGATTTTCGCTGTTCAATAGCCAAGACTTGAGCAAAACTTTTCACAAGCGAAAGCAACTTTTGAAAAAATTCCAGAGATCGAGTTTTCAGAGGATCTTTGGAAAACCAGCTCCGTTCTCAGAAAACTAACATACAATGTTAGTAATTTTTTTGCATGCGTAGATAGTTCGGACGTTACTCTACAAAATTATGCAAGTCCCGGCTCTCTA